AGACAGAAGATCTTGCTCTCTGTCTCTCCTCCTCTCTGCATATCTGACTTTGCAATAAAAAATAAAATAAATCTTAAAAAAAAAGAGAGAGAGACTACAATCTACAGGGCGGGATGGTAACTAATGGGCCGGTGCATGCAATTTAATATTTTAAGCAGCACTCTTATTAAGCTTACCAGGTTTCAAAATTTAAGAAGCAATGTACTTGCACTGAATAATAGTGGGAGCTGATGATGAAGACATCAAGTTCAGGACACCAAATTCCTGTGTGTAAGATTCCACAGAACACTACTTAAAGACTTCACTGCATTTCTCAAAAGACTGACAGCCTAGAGTCACTGGTGGCTGAAGACACTCAAGAGCACATGGAATGAAAGGAAAACTTACATCAGCGATACAGGAAGACACAAATTCAGATCAAGTCTGACTGACATGCATGGGCACTCTGCAGACAGGAGATTAATTTGCAAGTCCATTACTCAGTGGCTGTGTTGCCTTGGGCAAAATACCTAACTGTTGTAATCCTTAATTTCTTCACCTATAAACCATGGCCTATGAAAATAATAGCAGGGTAAAGATAAGCATTAAATAATAACATGAACAGGGCTTGTGAATCAAACACTAATACTTGATGAGTATTGTTATTATTTTTACGACAGAGCCCTTGATCACAAATCTACATTTCGTGTCTTCACTCATTTCTTCACGCTGATTTCCATGCATTCACCTTCAGGAAGAACTGAACACACCATCCACACACATTAGGACAAGCTTCTGATGCCAACTCTTCAGAAAACTTTTCACTGTATCTCTTGATGGTCACCTTTCTCTCTCCAGGTCTTACACACTTCTGGGCACGTAAGAGGCAGCCCATCATTTGAATATTGGCAGAAAGGTGATTTGAGTGGTTGAGTCAGTATCCCCAACATAGCAACCTTCCTTCTCCACCCAGTTAAGTTACTGCCTTACTTCTTGAAGATCATTAGCTTCTCTAGCACAACCCAGATAAAATCCCAGTACCTTCGGTAAAGCTTGGCAAAGTAACCTGCACATGGCGGGTACTCCTAAAGGGTATGTTGAACAAAATGCTGCTCGTAACTTATACCCCAATATCCAGCTTGTGAAAGCACCAAACTTGCTGGCACACACAGGCATGAAGAAACACTAAGCCTCTGACAAAGTCAAGGACCTGTTTGGTGAGACCCAAAGGAGAAGCCACAGCTGTTGCTGTAGACACTTGGAACATCTGCTTTACGTCTTTAAAGATCTACTAAAACTCAGTGTTGTGTACTTGACTTTGGAGATAATCACTTCTTCTATTTGGGCCTCAATTTTCTTCTCTGTAAAACAGAGATAATAATTACTCCTCCATCACAGAGTGCAAGAGGGTTAAATGTTATCGGGGAGACCATACGCTTTCAACAGACTCATGTACAGAGCTGCCCAACAAATGGGGGACCACACCTCTACTGTCACCAAAATTGAGTGCCAGCCCTACATGAACAGACGGACCTGCCAGAGCTTTCATCGTGTTGATCCTCCCTCCTGTCCGCCAAAGGCACTGAAATATTAACCACCCTCACCCTGGCTTCCTCACAGTGGTCCTAAAATGCCTGTTTGCTCTCAAACAGGAAAATACTGTTTCCAACTCATACTTTCCAAATGGTCACGAGTGAAATGGCACACATCAGTGTTTTCTTGGTTGCTGAGTAGGCAAAACACTGGCTTTTTGCTTGGAAAATACTCAGACATCAGGATGAAACTGGCAGGACACCAGCTAACCCATCCTGCTTCCCAAAAGCACCCACTGTTGAACCAGCCAAACTGGGACGCCCACAGTCATGCCTGGCCTTTCAGTCGAGAGGTGAGCTCGGACATACGCTCTCCTGCCTCTTCTTACCATGTATTTCCGATTCATTCCCTAGAGTGCGCATCCTTGGGAAATGTAAATCAAAGTACCAACAACTGTGCAACACAGCACGCTCTTGGCCAAAGGGACAGTACAGTTCATCTGGGCTTGCAGACTCGAAGATCTAACTGCTTTTAGGTAGAGCTCTGTATATGTTCCTAACTCAAAAACAGCAGGCCAGGCTATAAAGAGGAAGGCACTTAAATACTAAGACTTAGGGCCCGGCACGGTGGCGCAAGTGGTTAATGTCCTCGCCTTGAACGCCCAGGATCCCACATGGGCGCCGGTTCTAATCCCAGCAGCCCCGCTTCCCTTCCAGCTCCCTGCCTGTGGCCCGGGAAAGCAGTCGAGGACGGTCCAAAGCCTTGGGACCCTGCACCCGTGCGGGAGACCCAGAAGAAGCTCCTGGCTTCAGATCGGCATTTGCACTCACTTGGGGAGTGAATCATGGGACGGAAGATCTTCCTCTCTGTCTCTCCTCTCTGTATATCTTCCTTTCCAATAAAAAAATAAATAAATAAATCTTAAAAAAAAATATTAAGACTTAAAAAAGAAGTCCAAGCTAGCCAAATTAACTTCTATCCAGAGTTTCCACAGCACCAAAAAAAGTACCTAAAAGTACTATCCCTAAGAATAAACACAAAGTAACATAAACTGCACTCTTAAAATTTCCAAATACCTTACTTGTGAAGTATATGCCAACAAGATTTTGTGGTATGCCCCAAAATTTTTCCTTATATTTGGAGTGGTAATCTTGAACTTCCAGTTTTTTAAAAACTGAATTGCGATCCATTTAATATATTTACAATCATGTACCCCCTTTCATGTCTGTAACATTAGGAGTAAAAAAAATAAAATTTGGACTGTGGTGGTTACCCATCAGTAAGAAATTAAAGATACATTTCACATTTCTGCAGAAAGCAACGACTGAGTTTAACCTCTGGAACAGGCTTCCGGAATTAAGAGATGCAGATTAGGGATAATGATGCCTTAACCAGCACTGTTCTCAAGTTCACAAAAAGAACCACAAAATTACTGTGCCATCTTGCACGAAACACTCCTTGCTGTATCTCTGTAAGCACGAGTCCCCTCCCCGCACTCGAACTACGCCTTCGGACCTAGTCTTCCTCCAATGCCCTCTCCAGTTCACAGGTAACAATTAGATGTTTACATCTATTTTTCCTCCCAACCTTGTAAAACAGATTCCTTCTCTTAAACCCTGTTCCCCCCTTCCCTCCTCATGTTCTCTTTCACATTCACACACACACACACACACACACACACACACACACACCTGTTGCATTCACTTTTACACTTAGCTGCATCAAGCCAGGATCAGCAGCAGCTTCAAGTCATTGAATGCTAACCTTAACCTACACACTACTGCAGAATATGCAGACGCCCTGACACCTAGTAACACCAATATGCTTATCGCACACTGCAGCACACAGCAACACTGGCTGAACACTCAGTTAAAATATCTGGCAGCTCCATCAGCAGGTAAGGAAGAACTTACCTCAAAGGAAAATAAATGCTCAATCTAATCAATGTCACATCCTTTGGAAGCACACACTATTAAAACAGAAAAAAAGACGCAAAATGCTTCTAGATCTACATGCTCCAATTTACTACAATTAAGCCTGGGACAAGCACCCAATGGGACTGAACACCTGGCAACTCTATTTAACTTCAGACACTAACAGGCTAGTGCAACAGACTGACAGTTTACAAAGACTATTAAAAAAATACTACCGGCTTTCAGACAAACCTAGTTAGGTGGCATTTCTCCAACCACTTAAAAATTTCCTTCATTCACCCATCCACCCACCTCAGACTCCAGAGAATTCTCTAGAAGCATCCCCAAGCACAGTGAGACACTCAAACCCGTTCCCAGTGCCAGGCAGGCAGGTGGGCGACTAAGAGCCAACCCAGCACTAATAGGAATCACTCCCCTAACATTCAGGACCCTCGAACCCCGTATCAGTTCTGCATGTGTCCACACAGGAGTATCAAAAACCCCATCAACACAGTATGCCTATGAAACTCAAGCCCCAAATGAAACAACCGCACAGCGATCCACCAGGAAAAAATCAACCTCCCTTCCTAACCCTCCCCCCCTTGAATAGTTGCGACAGGTTGAGCTTGTTTCAAGGTAGGTGATGCTTTCTGGTAAGTAGGGACGAAGCTGAGGTCGGGGGCAAAGGCCCCATTTTTAATTAAGTTCCAAAGGCTTCTGCAGCTCCTAAGCTTGCGGTTGCCTCCTTATCCCTCCCATCCTATTATTCCACTTAAAAAAAAATTTTAATCCAAATGGCTTTGCCCGTGGCGCTGTCCCCAAACACCCCCAATGCCTTCATGAGGACAGGAGAAGAGAAAAGCAGCTGTTTTTTTACTGCAACCCCCACCACCCCCGCATCAAATCTGGTCAGCTCATCCCAGCTGCATCAGCCTCAGACTTCCCTTCACAGCCTGCCAGTGCCGTGAGGGCAAGTCCTGCTGGCGCAGCGGTCCTAACAACCAGAAGGGTGGGGATCTAAGCAAAGCATCTCTTTCCACCTGGGCTCAACTTACCCATGGAGGATAAGCAAGCAATAGTGCTGGGACAGAGGCAAGCCCAGTCGGGGCTCTCTATTTCCCCACCCTTATCTCTAGCTGAGCCCGCGGGGCGCAGCTGGGCCCTGGAGGCACATCCCCAAGCCCCTTGCCGATGACCTTGGCCACCGCGGCTGCCTCGCGTCTCTGTCGTTGGTGGCCTGCAGCCGCCCACTCGGGAGCCTTACGAGAGGGTCACGTAACTGTGGAAACTCCACTTGCACAGGGTGGGCAAGATCCAGACAGGGCTTCCCCCGTTGTGCGACCCTCAAGTTGTCCAGGGCTCGCTCAGTCCTCTCTGAGCTGCCAATGCGCCGGCCTGGAAACTCGCAGGAGCCCGGCCAGGGTGCGCACACGGACACACGGGCGGTGGGCTGCAAGTCTGAAGTCCCCTGCTCACTTTGGGGGGGTAGGGATCCCGGAGGGGTGTGGCTCCCCCGGCTGCGCCCCGAGGCAGGACCGCCACCCCGGCGAGCGTCCGTGCCCCGGCCCTTCCTACCTCCTCCAGCAGCGTGACCGTGTTCCTGCAGTTGTGCAGCCGCGTAGTGAAGCTCGACGTGGTGGGCGAGTTGTAGTCCTCGGTGGTCTCCGCGATGAACTCGGACACGGAGATCTGGTCCGGCATCCTGCCGGGTGGGGCGAGACACAAGCGGGGGCGCGGGGTGAGTCACGGCGCAGGCTCCCGGGGCCGCGGGCCGCCCGGCGGCTCATGAACGCCCCGCCGCCGGCGCCCGGCCTGCGTGCGCCGCTCCGGTCCCCAGAGACGGCGGCAAGAAGGTTCTGCGTGGACGCAGGCGGGCGGCGGGGCTCGGCGCGGGGCCCTTCAAACTCCGAGCCGCGCGCGAGGCAGGGGGCTCTCGGGGACCCGCCTCCCTCAGCTCATGCCGGCGTCGGCGGCCGGGCTCGGGGGGCTCGGAGCGCGCGTGCGGGGCACGGGGGCGGACCGGGGCGCCCAAGCGCGGCTCCTCAGCAGTCTGACAGGGGACGCCGAGGGCCCGACTGACTGACTGACTGGGCGCGCACTCCCCGGGCCGGGCGGGCGGGCCAGCCGGGCGGGCGGGCGGCGCTTCAGCTCCAGTCACGGGGACAAACAAGGAAGTGCTCTGCGCACGCGCCGCCGCCCCCTCCGCCCGCGCGCCGCCCCCGGCCCGGCCCCCGCCCCGCGCGCGCGTCGCCTCGCGGGCCTCGTTCCCGGCCGTGCGGTGCTGCGGGCTCCGGAAGCCCGCGTCCTCCGGAAGCCCGCGTCCTCCTCCGCCTGCCCGCGCCACGCCACCCCACCCCGGCCGCGTCCTGCCGCCCCCGGCGCGAGCTCCTTACGCGATCGGCAGCAGGGGTGGTGGTGTGCGGAGGGCGGCACCGACAAAAGTTGTGCGTGTTCTATTCTAGTTGCGTGTGGGTGCAGGAAGCGAGGCCGCGAGAGCCGCCTCCTGCTGCGAGGGCCGCGGGCCGGGGGCGCGTGGGGGTGCGGGGAGCCGGCTCCCGGCCTGGCCTGGCAGCCGCCCGCTCGCTCACCCGCCCGGTGCAGGGCGCTCACCGCAGCTGCAAGCTGCAGAGTTCTGCCTGCTTGGCTTGGGTCACTAAAATGCCTGGAGAAAATAGAGGCGTTTTGTGGGCGCGCGCGCGCCTGTGTTTCATCTTTGATTTGCACTTTAAAAAAACCTGGAGGAAGGACCGTGATGGGGGAGAGTAAAAGGCTTCAGGTGCGGAAGGTATCGGCCGCTCAATAGATGCCAGATTTCGGCACAAGTCCCAAGAAGGAACGCCTGGGTCCCCAGCTTCTTAAAAACTAAATCTACTTAGTCTCAAGAACCCATTTAATTTTCTCACAACTGATTGAGGATGAAATTCGTTTTTGCAAAGAACAAAAGCAAAAAGCTAGACCCTTAGGAAGATTTCCTTTGAATGGAGCTAGTAGGCCAGAGAAGCAGTCCATGGGAGTAGCCGACTGGCCTTGTGGCCTGGTCAGGTTGAGCCGCTGCCATCCTGAGAGGGGCAGTTTATCCCGCGCTACAACTGGCTCTCTCAGGCAGAGACCCTGTCTTACTTAGCCTTGGGTCCAAGCCCTGGTACCCAGTGGTGGTCAAATGGAAATCTATCGGCACAGTGGGCAGCCAAGCACGTGCTTAAGATATCCTGGAGATGGGACACGCGCTGAGAGGGCCTACGGACACACATCCAGGGGTGTGCACTCCAACGTGGTGGGAATACCAGGAGCAGAAGCGATGGCACTGCTACCGGACAAGGAACGTGCAGACAGGACTCTGGCAAGGTGACGTGCAGAATGGGGAAGAATGAGGAAGGCCAACCACACAGATAGCCCTGCTGGCTAGAAGATCTCCAGCCCTCAGCTGCCTCACGTGGAGGACAGCGATAAGGGCTGCAGCCCAGCAGGCTGTCGTGCAAGTTCAATGACAGCGCACAAGACCCTGTGCTTTGTGCACAAGGCAGCCACTCGGAAAGCGGAAAGGATTTATCTCTCGGCACTGGCTGCAAGTCAGGGGCCTCCAGGGAGGGCCTCACAAGGTGCTCACTGAATCCCACACCAACCATAAAGAACTGGGCATTTCCTCCACTCCAACACGGCTTACCCATCCTTAGGCAGGAAATAAACTCAGGCTTTGACTTTTTGCACTTACTGCCGTCTTCTATGCTAAGGTGTCCTCTAGGACCTGCCCCCTCCTGAGGCTCGAAGCTGCTTGCATCCTCTGTATCTCGCACAGGGTTAACAATAACCAGGAGCCTAGGTACTCAGCCTGAAGTGAGTGAATAGAGCTGCCTCGATTCCAGGAGGCCTAGTGTTCCAGATTTTTTCTCCTAATAACTGAGCCTGGTGCCATTGCCTGTGAAATAAAGGGGTGGGTTGCCAAAATGCCCATCCAGATCCCTCCCAGCTGGACCTGATTTGTGTATAAATTCGAGTCTACACATGCAAAGAATCAAGATTACCACAAGGAGCTGAGCTTGTGCAGCGGTAAACAGCCAGGGATTTCTTTCTCGACTGAACTCACCAGAGAGCCGGAGCTGCTGCCATCAACTGCTGTTTCAGTTTCATTGGAAGATTATGGTATAGATCTGCTCCTCCCCATACTTCCAGCGGCCAAGAAAGGAATAGGCCAACAATGAGATATTGTACATGGGTAAGCATATACCTGCTCAGGCTGGTCTGAAATTAGAATTCCAAAGGTTCACACCTCTACCCACCACTTCTGGGGTTCACAGGCCATAATCCTCTGTAAATTGGAAACCATGCCCCAGTGCAAACCAGCAGTACCTCTCATTTTCTCAAATACCCTGAAAGCCATTCCTGAACGTCGGAAAGCAAACAGATTCTGGCATGGGCAAAGGCTTCAGTGCTGGATTTCTTATGTGAAGCTGCCCAGAAATATACACCATCCGTTCCAAAGCCAGAAAAAACATGCACAGACTTAAACTTGCGCACACACAGCTTTTTATAAAGCAAGCGCTGTCTTGGTTGTCATCAGCGTAATTCCGCCTCCAACACTGGGTGGAATCCCTAGAGTCCACATGCCTGTGGCCCATCTGAGCCCTGCTGACATGGCCAAGTACGACAGCCAGGTGCTAGCAGGGTGCTCTGTATCCTGCATGGTGTGGCTTCTGCTGGACAACGATGGCATTGCTGACACTACTGTCATCAAGGAGTGGACACGTCCAGCTGCACATCTCCCTCCTATCTGCCTAATAAAGGAGTTTATTTGCAATATGTCAAGCAGCCAGGGGTAAAGACTTGGGGTGCTCACTAGGAACTCTTGGCAGCCTGCCCCCCAGGGGTACCCAGTGAGTGTCTTCAAAGGTTCCTCATGTCCTGCTGGGACAGAGCGGAGGAGAAGCAGGCAGGACAGGACATGGTGTCCATGTGCAGGAGCATGAGTGAGGCTCGCTCTAAAATGAGAAAGACAAGTTCATGTCAGTCCTTCTCAGGGCCTCCCTTCTCTGAGTCTCAGTGTTCACAGCTATGAAACAGAGGCAATGATAGGGCCTGTCAGAGTTCTGAAGACCTGGGAAAACAAAGCACGTAAAGCACTTAGCAGGATCTGACGCATGGTAAGTAAAAATTACTGTTCAGATACAAACACCTATCTGGAGACATACTTTCATACTTCTGCAAAAAACAAAACAGCCACCAACACCTGTGTACCACTTAGCTAAGTACACAATTTGGAAATATAGCCTTCAACCTCTAACAACTTTATAAAGTAAGCGTAATTATCTCCCCCTCTGTCACTTTGCCTTTCAAATAAGTAGATAAACTTAAGAAAAATTATCCCAAATTTACCAGAGAGAAACCCAAGGCTGGTCGGATCTGAGATGCAACTCTTTCTTAGGCCAGGGACTGCACTGAGCTTTGATATACACAACACCTGATGCATTCACCTAATAACCCTGTTATGCAAATGGTACAGTAACGGAAACTGAAACATAATGAAATCTCACTGCAAGCTAATGTCCCAGAGCCAGGCAGACTCTAAATCCAGTGCTTTTCTCCACTGCCTGTACGACTGGTCTCTTTGTCATACACAGTGCCACTCTGACAGATGGACAGCCCAACCCAGGCAACCGGAGTATCCATACGTCCTTGCTTCACCTGCTCCATCACACAGGAATTCCTGTTTTGCCATCCTAATGAAGTCAAGAAAAGGAAAGCCCTCCTGGAACAAGAGGAAGGAGGGCCAGGTCTATCTCCTTTGCTGTATTGCTGGGCTTCTGCTGTCATATTCCACGTGAATGAAGCATCTTCTCATGTTCCTAACAAGGAGTGTCTCCCAAGTGCACTCATGCCATTTCATTTAATAAGCATAACAAAAAGCCTATCCAGGTCCCAAATGTATTTCATTTAAAGATCAAGTAAAACTACTAGAATATTCTAAGAGAAGCTGGTCTGCGTGTACACACACACCCAGCTCTGATCTACGTCCCCATTCCCTGACTGTTCTTTCTGCCGCAGGTGAGAGGAAGAGGCAGAGTACTGAGCATTCTAAAGCCATGCAGGGTAGAGACCAAGTGAGCGAACTCAGGTGTGTGTCTCTGTTCTGTCCGGTAAATGAAGAACAACAGTCATCAGCTGACCCTGTGATGCTTGGCCTCTGGACACCGTGCTGGGTCCCTATGGGAATGACCTCAAGTGATACAGCAACCATGCACTGCCGGGACTATAATACCCCCACTTTATACCCAAGGAAGCCTACTATTGAGGAGTACGCTGGAGAGTGGCAGAGCAGCACACAGGTTTATAGCCCAGGGACTCAGCCATAGCACTCTGCACACTCAGCCAAGACAATGAATGGGCCCACCATACCAGCAGGACAGTTCTGCTGGAATCCATGCTTAATTTTTTTTTCTTTTTAATATTTGAAAGAGAGAGAGGAAGAAACATCTTCTATCTGCCGGTTCACTCTCTAAATGGCCACAATAACCAGGGATGGGCCAGGCCAAAGACAGGAGCTTCTTCAGGTCTCTCGTGTGGGTAGAAGGGACCCAAACATGCGGGTTCCGTTGCTTTTCCAAGGTCATCAGCAGAGAGCTGGATTGTAAGTGGAGCATCTGGGACTCAAATCCGCACCCATATGGGGTGCTAGCATCGTACCTTTACCCACTACACAATGCCAACACCTGGGGAACTCTTTAGAAGCCTAAGTCAAATGTGAGCTAGGCTGGTCTGGGAAGCACACACTGGCCCATTCCACCAGCTGGGACAGACAGTCCCCAAACAGCCTTGCTTACTGTGCTGTATGCAATGGCAGAACACCAGTCCTGTTCAGGGACACTTTATCTCAGGTACACAGAGGAATGTCCCCAGAAGGACAATAGCCTAGTATTGGCTCAGAACTCAAATCTGCCTGCTCTGTTTGCTGCCCTATGAAAACTAGCAACTTGTCAATAATGGGGTCTACATCCTGTTCATCTCTGCCCCAGGAATTGAGGTGGACTGAAGGGGTTGGGAGTCTCAGCCTTGG